TAAAATATACGAATTTCCGTGTCCTTAAACAAGTCGTACAATTAACACATAAAGCTAAGAATTAAGCAATAGTCAGTATATTTACGTCTAAAAAGTAGTTATGCAAAGTATATAAATGAGAAGAGAAAGAAAATAAGTAAATCCAATGCAAGCATTATCTTCTCAACGCTTAAGTTTTTACCACTCGAAATAATGGACCATAAACATTAAATCCGAGGACACGTAAACGCAAGCTTGTCCCCTGTAATAAATTGGAATCTAAATACACAATTAAACTTTCGCTAGCGAGGTTCAAGGCTAGAAAGATACTAAGCTTTTTTGGTTGAATTTAGGAGGCTTAACTTCATTGCCTTCATTAAATTTCTGCTAGTAGAGCAGCAAGTCGGATACTTTGTGGTATAAAAGGACTGTAACGCATACCTACCGTGCCGGAAATGCTCTTGGGGAATTGTTCGGAATGGAAATCCCCACTTAATGTTATCCAGGGACAAATTGTGCCGCCCGCTTGACATTTTGGCAAAATACTTCACCACGGAGTTACGTCTTACGAATGATCGCGTCAAATCTTTTCTTGACTTGAGGCTTATCTCATAGGGTTACCATTCTAGGTACGATGAAAGATCTTTTGATCAACACTTCTCAAAATTCTCATAATTTCGCAAAATAATTGTTTCTACTCAAACAGACAAAATTACGTTCCTTGTGAGACTTTGAATGTCTTATTAGGAATTCAAATATACCTTTTATCCGTGTAAACATTAATTTCTGCGAGAATGTCAGACACAATGTACAATACACGATGGGGAATGTTTGAAATTACATCCTTTATGTTACTTTACCTTAGAAGGTCTTTGTTTACCTGTTAAAATGGAATGCTCGTATGTGAGTTTACAAGCGGAACTAGCAACTTTTTTAATTAAACTCAAAAACTAAGTTTGTAAATTAAAAATTGCTACCGTCAAAGTTATACACGGTACACGAGTATGATGAGATTGACGTTGATCATTAGCACGGAAACTCTTGTTCTGCTGGTGACGTTCACAACTATCCCGGTATCAGAGCCACTTGGAATACACGAAGAACTGTTCAAGGCAAACATAAATATCAAGGGAACTTTGAAGTGCAGATCAAAGTACATTCTTGGCGGATCTAAATCGTGAGAAGTCATTCGAGTAATGGTTATTGACAGGAACTAGTACAGGAAGTGACGTTCTACCCACAGTAATGGAGTACGTATGCACATACCTATTACGTAGTAAATACTCGGTGAAGCTAGGAAATTCGTTTTCAACGTAATATCAATTTCACGAATCTAGATTCTCCGCATACACATACTCGTACCAACGTATCACCCTTATGGATACGTATACTAACCAACCCTTGGACTATCTCCCTCATAATATTTCTCACCCTCGACATTCTAATTGAATGCTCGTATTAACCCTTCTAACCTAAAGGCGAAAGGGTATCTCGAGTACTCGCTAATTCCCTTTTCCTGGACGGATTATCGTAAATTCTACATACCACTCGTGTTATGTGACGTTAAATGTACCGGAATCGCAATCGGCACGATATTCGACCAACTTCGCGCCGTGATTGTTCTTCGTCAGTTCTGAACAAAATTTTTTATATTTAGCAACCATGTTGACTTATTATTCGTGGTAGTTACGTAGTTTGACAGTACTGTTGAGTTTGGTTGTTCTATGCACCTCAGAATATAGCCAAATAATTACGATCGTGTTCCCAGTAGGATCTGTCAAATTCACGGCAAGCGTGTTATCTAATATCAACAACACATCGCACATTCCAATTGTCAGTACAATTACCCGAAAACATACCGCGAAAATGTACGAGGATATCATCCAGTGATCGGACTGTCGGAATCAGGTGGTTAAATCAATTCACCGTGAAGTTCACAGGGAATGCATGAAAGTGAAGTTGTTGGGTCGTATCAGGTGGTAGGGAGTTGCTTAATTACAGACCAAAGAAAAAGTATGAATAACAAAGACAAAATTATTACATCTGCAAAATGATTGCAGAAGTTACAAAAGTTTCGAAAACTTTTTTAAGACTCTTCGTATTTTATAGGTACTAACTGTGTATTATAATATATATATATATATATATATATATATATATATATATATTTGTGTCTATAGCATACTTTGGAGACGATTACTTTTACGAACACGCTTATTCGAGAACTTATGGCTATTTTGGGGTCTGACCTCAAAGTTTTTCCAGCGTAATGACTGTTTTGAGGCCCATAAAGGTGACTCTCACACCGAATTTGTTTATATTTTTTTATTGTTAATAAAATTGTTTATATTGTTAGGTTAGGTTAGGTTTCGTTAAGTTAGTTTAGCTTAGAATTCCAATGCTGTCACACCCCAAGGTTTTAGTTTTTTTTCTTTTTTAAAACATTAGCTTGTTTTTGCAGTTTTGACCCCTTAATGCTTCCGGTTCCCAAAGTATCCCGTGGACAAGTTCATATATATCACACGAAATATTCATCATCAATCATTCTAGTACTATTCATTATATATTCTTGTGCGCTTCAACAGCATGTCAAAGAAATTATAAAAAAGCTGAAAAAGCTCCGTATATATATATATATATATATATGTATATATATATGTATATATATATACATATATATATATATACAATTTTTAATTACTACCATTTGAAAAGAAAGTAAATTGGAGAAGAAAGCGCGAAGCCGTATATTATTATGATACGATAAAATTAAGAATGAGATCGTTTTTCCTTCTTTATCATTAAACATTTTCGTAACGTTGAAATGTTAATTAGAAATAGGACACAATTGGTTGGCTCAACCGTATTTCAGCGAACGCATCATGCATGTTCATAAGTATGTATATCATAGTATATAGGTAAAGAGTTAAATACCCGTAATTCTTATCAAACTTTGTCCTGTATTTAATTCCAAGTTCTAACGGCCGTCACGGATTTTGTCCTCTCTTTGGATTTACTCAATGATCGTGACTTTTCTCCATTCCAATTTAACCACCCAAACGCCTAACTCGAAAGCTTCGCGGCCCGACGTTATGAAGTCGTTGGGATTGTTAGTGTGAAAAGTTTACGCTGACTTTATAAATTTCACAAGTTTTTATATTTTCTCATTCTCCTACTATCCGCACTTCCTCGTAACTCGTGATAAAAAATCTGCTTAATGTGAAGTGGTGGACTTCTTAGTTGGATAACTGTTGTATAAGAATTTCTTCCCCATTAATATAACGTCAGTTTACGGCAAACTACACGTTCTAAACGCATTCATCTGTTCGTATATAACTTATACATCGTAGTTTGCCTAGTTTAAAAAAAAAAAAAAAAAAAAAGAAAAAAAAATTTGACAAGTTAACCAAGAATTTCTTTCCCTTTGAATGCTGCCCTGGATTTTCTGCATCTCAGGGAAATCCTGAAGTTTACACTTTACGACAGTTGCACCGTTCATACCGACGACGTTGGGCAGACAAATAACTTTGTGAAACAAGTAACGGAACAATAGTTGCGGCTCTTTAATATTTCATTGAAGCTTCGGTTCGTTGGAAATGAAAAGGTTTCTTGAATTTAGAGCAAGCAAAGTTATTAGCAGTCAGGTATTTACGGTTTTAAAGTCCATTGTGAGTATTATGTAATTGCATCTTTTATACGGCACGATTTAGTATACGCAGATATAGCATTAAAAAGACTTGGCAAAAATAGTTAATCTTAATGCGTCTCGCGTTATTCCATTTATTCATTCCTCGCCCGTTTCTCTTGAAATCATTTATCGTTTCCCGTGTTAAATATATAGCTCCATAAGGTGAAACCAACCGTTTCGCGGTACGGTTAACTCCTTCGTAAAATTCTTTAAAGATTGTCATTAAAGTTGTATATGAAATAATGGAACTGCCCTCGAGAAGAGTCGGCTATGTTTGACTTTGCTCGGAATAGGATCCTTGTGGCAAATTTACGAATTTTGAGCTCCTCTCGAGGTTTAATATGATCGTGCCTTGCTTCTATGGTTTTCGCAGTCAGTGTGGACATAGTGGAACTTTAAAAAGTTCCCAGTTACTAACATTTTCGGGAACTTCTTACAAGCAGATTGTTACGACATAAGCGGACTTGCTTGACTCGCGTTCAGCGTGCTTGGATAATATTTCTTAGACAATTATTTTCTCACGTTCATTCAAAGTAGTTACTTTATAAACTAATGTACTAATGTGTTATTGCATAAAGAAAAGGAAAATACGAATACAACAAGGAATAGCAACAACTTGAAACGTACTTCGTTTGATTTTAAAGAGAAGAAATTTAATGAAACAATCTCTTTGTTAAGTATATTATAGAATAATTAAATAGTTATAGTACTTTACGTAGAGTCAAGAAACTCGATGAATTCTCCTCCCGAAAATCAGCGAAATTTAATAATTTTAAAAGAAGTTCTGTGTACTATAATTTTTCGAAATTATACATTATTTAAACAATACACCTGATCCCACTTCACAAACTAAACTAATTTCCTGCTTGGTATTTACCTCTCTTCCTTTAAGTTAATATGCATTAACAACTCATAATTAACCCCACAGTGACTGAGGTCGGGCCGGAATATGAAATCGCTTGAAATAAAATCCACCTAGTATTTCTATTACTACAATATCTAAAAGTATAAAGCTCGTCTCGCTGTGATCTCCTTATAGGGATAGTACAATTTCTCTTAGCCAATTACCACACTGCTGCTCCTACCAGTTAGATTGTATATGTAGGAAAAGTAAATAGTATTTTTTTCTCCAATCCATTTACGTAGGATACTCGTCATTGTGATTACGTAAACCGATTAAATATAAGTGCGAAAAAAAGGAGATTTGTTGAAAAGTCCAGTGAATATCAATAAGCAATAGTAATCCAGTAATATTAAATACTCAAATTATTTTCAATCTATAAACATATATCATGAATTAAAAAAAATAAAACATTATCATTATCCGTTGCAGGTTGTCAGGGCCGCAAGTCCAGTTCTGCTACGCGTAATTGCCCTAGGAGCTTTCTTCATCTACTGCACAGTAAGTATATCAAAATATTCACCTATAGTTAAAACGTTTCGTCGCAAATGCAATTTTGCAAAGTGGCTATACTGCATAAAGAACAACATCCAGTGCTTGAAGCTTCTCAACAGACATCTCGAACCTCCGTTCCAATTCATGAAAAGGTCTTGGTAGTCATCTCGTTCCGACGATATTCTCCATTACTTCGTTATAAAATGTCTCCCAATGGTGATGCCACCAGTAAAACAATGGGAATGACACGAAAGATAAGAACAAGGACTCAGATGTCATTACGAACGGCTCACTAACCAAAAAGACCTCGGAACGCGTGACTTTACCTTTGGTTGACCTTTTCCCGAAAATCCACACCGGCGACGAGTAGGATTAGATGTAGCGTCGAATTAGGAAATGGAATCCGGTCGCTATTACCTTGCGGTTTTCTCGGTATATGGGCCTATGAGAGCTTGTGGGGCGTGCGAAACGATTTCTGTGTTTATGGGCCTAACTATGCTATCTACGCCCGAAACTGAATCACCTTCCTAATTGGTTATGGGGTTTATGATTTCCTTTTACGTTTTCGGAAAATATCATGACTGCTACCGATATTAATGATATTGAGTAGACCTTTTGGATCTTCTTAAGGATTCCGACAGGGACACTGGTCGCCTCGTGAAAATATTCGTAGAAAATATTATGTGTCATATACATATATATATTGGAGACTCGATATACGAAATTCTACGTTCTTGTCGTACATCATGAATTTCTCACGTTACAGACCATCGTAATGTATCCACGTCCCAACGTCGTGACGTGCACCGTTCGCGTTTGGCTACGTGAAATCGGATTTTCTTTGACCTACGGTGCACTCATGCTGAAAACCTGGCGGTGAGTAATACGTACTTTACTATTCACGAAGAAATCCCTCCGCCGACAACATTTATTACGCAAGAAATGTTTCGGAGCAACTAATATACATATAGTTGGCTTACGACCGGTTACATCCCTGTTACGAAATTCATGGCTTTACTGGATAACCGTGTAAGTGTGTCACAGGCAAAATTAACATTTTGATCTCGGAGTTAGTTTTTCTTTTTTATCGAAAAATAATAAGTTTAATGGTCCATAAATATCAGGATAAACGACCGTGTTATAAATTCTTACTGTTCATTGTGACCTTACGTTATATGACCAGTTAATGGGGTTCAATGTTGAACTGGGTATATCCAGAAAATGTGTTTCTTTACCTTGAAACGTACAAGTAATCGAGATAATTCTCAAGAGCATGCAAACTTACAATAGTACAAGCACGCTAGTCGTTCGTACAAAGATAGTGAATTTTATTGAATAATGTGCACGTATATACTCTGTTCTTACTTTCTGAACAAACTCCATGGAAGCCCCAATAGCCATTGCACGAACTGCAGCAAATCTTATGTGCGAGACAAGGAGACAGACTTGAGTCGGGCAACGTCTGAAAAATTCGAGTATACTTCCCGTGCATTTTCGTGCAATCAGCTATTGCAGCTGCAGCTATGCATTTACTGTAACAGATACAAAGACTCTTACCCTTGTAAGCCCTACACGAAAATATCATATGGGAAACGTAAGGTAAACGCATATGTACGTAAGAGGCCATTAAAAATTCTAATAACGGTAAGACGAAGCAGTGCCACGATAGAGAACCACTTCGATGCCATTTTCTTCGAAAGAAGCACTTTCTACGACGCGGACCATTTCTTCGGCATGATGCCATTACCGATAAGTGTACAGTTATTGTACTCGTAAAACTAGTATTTCGCAACGTTATCATGCACAGTAGCGAAATTGTGAAAAATCCTAGAAATTCTTAAGTGCATGGAAATTTTGTTCCTTACAGTGTTTCTATAGGAATCAGCTGTCAACTATTTGGTATGACGTTCGTGCGCGTATGGTATAGCAATGGTCTATATGTATGAGCGCGTAGGAGGTTCAGGACGAGAAGGTGCAGAAAGTTTCGGTATATCGTGGAGGATCGATGTGTCGTCTTTCGTGGGAGTTTATCGTCCTTTTTTTCCTCTCTTATCTACCTCAAGCCATCACAAACCCCAGATTCGAGTAAAGGGAACTTTGAGCTTCGAGCTTATCGACGATCGATGGTCGACGAGTTTTCAACCACTGGACGACGATAGCATTCTCTTCTATTTTCCCTTTTTTTTTTTTGACGTTGGAAGAGTAACCAATCCTGTAGACCTCTTACGAATTTCCGATCCCTAGAGATTTCTGCGACAGAGTCCGTCGATCCCATACTTACGATTTAGTCACTAGATACTCTAAGACGGATGAGTCAAGCACGGTGACTAAAAGTTTTAAAAATTTTCACAGGTCGGTCATTGAGTAGGACATTTTCTTGGGACTCCAAATCTTTCTTTGCGCTTCCTGAACAATTTATTCAAATCCTTAATACCTTTAATGCTTACTTATAGATTTATAAGGTATAGCTGTAGTCGCGAAAGAAAAGAAAAAAGAAAGTAACAAGTTTATTAAGTCATAATATATACTAAACTATATATACGATCTAAGATGCCAATAATAATACACAAAAAACTTACTTTACTGCAATTATTTTTATTTACGTACATTAACGATATTCCTACGCTACAGAAATCAGACTCTGTTAATCACAGTTAAATCTTACCGTATTATACTAATGTAATCAAACAAGTCCGTACTGAAGTAATATTTGTCAAGACAAATTCATTATTTGTACATACCGATATATTAAATTTCACAATGTTGACTACTATCTCATATAGTGCTCATTACGGAAATTAATTATATCATCCAAATACAATCACATGCCTGTCACTGCAGCTATTTGTTTCGTCAACTTATTGGACTAATATAATATCAAGAGACTCAGGCGTCTCGCATCTAGTACGTACATCATAAGGAAGGCGAGACCATCAGAATATACAATTCTACGAAAGTTGTCTTATGTGGTATAACTTAAAAGTTATATATTATATGGAAATCACATTCTACAATATTACAACAATTCCTACCAAATACAATTGACCCATTCTTCTCAATTTACAGTGTAAATGTACTTATAGTGAATAATTTTCACTATTTCAACTTCGCTCATTCGCGTTAATTATATACTAGAAACGATCATGCCCAAGTATTATTAAAATGAAAATGCATTATAACCCTTAACTTTAAAATGTAAGTTTAACATATTTATTCCTCTTGGTTATGCAGAAGTTGAGTGACAAATTAGCATAGTAAAAGCTAGGATCGCGTTTAGATGGATATAGTTGACTATGGTATACATGTATACTGTGTGTGTATATATATATATATATATATATATGTATACACTATACCATAGATCGCTATTAGATATAAATTGCTACAATAAGTATGAGCATCTCTATTCCTTTATGGTATACATGTATACTGTGTGTGTATTATAACCCTTAACTTTAAAATGTAAGTTTAACATATTTATTCCTCTTGGTTATGCAGAAGTTGAGTGACAAATTAGCATAGTAAAAGCTAGGATCGCGTTTAGATGGATATAGTTGACTATGGTATACATGTATACTGTGTGTGTATATATATATATATATATATATATGTATACACTATACCATAGATCGCTATTAGATATAAATTGCTACAATAAGTATGAGCATCTCTATTCCTTCTATCTTGACGAAATTGCCTTGGGAATCAATAAAAAATTGTTCCTTGTGGATTTGCAAGTAAAAATCACGTCTTTTGTACGCAGGGCGTCTATAATTGTATCCGCTAGTGCGTTCGTTCATGATATTCATATAATATGCTATAACATGTTGTATAATTGTTTAAGCTCTTATATTGTTAGTATAGTAAACAGGTAATCTATGTGTAGTGAAGTTATATAGGTTGTATTAGATTAGAAGAATTTGAAGTTGCCTAAGAGAAATATTTATTGCATATCCCTCAATCTTAGTACCAACGGGTACATATTTATTGAAAACGATTCGACCCCTTGTATAATGACATTAGGAGCATCTGAGTCTCCGAGCTCTTCCGGCAATTAATTAACCACCGATAAGCGAATTATAGGTAACTTCATAATTTCGTTTCGTAACCCGATTTCCTCTACACCAAATTGCATGAACCGTAATTGAATTGTTTGCCTTTGTTTTAAATCCCACGAGTTCAATTTAAAAGCACCGCTTTTATGTTCGACTCTATTGTACCGTCATGTTCAGTTGGCAATATGTCCTGGGATTATGAATTGACAAGATTTGAAAAATTTCTATATATATTTTTGTATTCTTAAAAAAAAAAGAATTAATTTTCATAAACAATGGTCTGACATATTAATGGCTTATTAAAAACTAAAAAGATATTTCAACGAATTATGTAACTGATCTACTAGATTAATAACCTCAAATGTCTAATTGTAAGCTTCTTGTATTTTTATTTAATTAACGGGAATAAAATATTAGTATTCACTTCGTAACGTGAAAACTTTGTAAAAGAAACGAAAAAAATAATTAGTATCACCTTTTATTCGCTATCGTAATCAATGTACATTTATATTCTCAGTATCGTCGAACCTTACCTTTCCCTAATTTAAATTACACAGCATTTTACGGTTCGGGACTTTAATTCATTTATTAGATTTTGAGTTAGTTCATTTGCGAAGTTGGCTGTACGCAAGGGAGCCAAGGGACTAATTAACATATTGTGGTTACCTATATGTTACGTAATTTACATAACTACTAAAATTTATCGCAAAAACATATTAATTTGCAATTGTCCAGTTTTCAACTATTTATCAATTATCTTATATATAAATGTAATAGAAATATTAATTACAGGTACTTATCTATATAGAAGATATTTTTTTGCCATATGCATGTTCACATTTGGAGATGGCTGTGGGTGAAATATCCTTCTAACTAAATGCCTTTTCTAATTTCAGGATATCTGTAATATTTCGCGTGAGGTCGGCGAAGGCCGTCAAAATAACGGATATGAACCTACTAAAGCGGCTTGGGATAATCGTCATGATATTCAGCGTGTTTCTTGGTATTCGTACGCTGGTGGCGCCGCCTGTCGTGATAGTGGCGCACACGGCAGACAAATTAAAGGCCTATTTATGCCGCACCGATTGGTGGGATCACAGCTTTACGACACGTGAGTTTAACAAAACTTAGCAACCGAATCTATACTTGATTATTATTATTTCCTTAGTTCAATTACGCAAATGATTATTGACAGTATGTTTTTTTCTTTGTTGTGAAATATTATTTGATGATATTGCAATAAAATTTTTATTATTAAAATATACTTAAAAAATTTCATGGCGGATCTGGTTAAAATTCTCGTGGCTACTAATGAACTCTGTGTGGCTTTCGCAGTGCATTTTCAGATGCTTAAAAATTGTATATCAAACCTATGCAAGTTTTGATACTAAATTCATTAAAACTGTCGATCTTATGCTCCAAGTATGTCCGTTCTACTTCAGTTTACCTTTTTATGGGAAATCGTAAAACTCTTGCGGAATAATCTTGCGCAGTGTCTATAAAAACGCGTGGATGAAAAAAAGGGCAAGAGGAAAGTAATTCAGAAAATGTTCCTCTCAGAGATTGGTTATCGTTTCCGGTAGGCGTGACAACCATTCCAAGTAATTTTCGAGATTCCAGGAGAGACATTTTACGATGACGTGGGAATTCCTTCCCACGCAAATAATACTCACACTATCGCGTAACTAGACGACAATAAAATCAATTTCTCGACTTTTATTATCCATTATTATAAATATTTCGGAAATAATATTATTTATATTATTGAAGTCACGTCAAAACGCTGAAGCTTAGCTTGCAAATATTTTTTTTTGTAATTACATATTTCTCTTGTATGTCGCATATAGAAAGTAAATAAAAATCAAATTCTTACGACCAATTGAGTTTCATGGTGTAATCAATAAAAGGAACCCTTAGCAAATAGGGGTGCGCTCGGAAACCTCAACTGATATTATTCTAGTGTGTTGCGTCTTTTTTTATCAACCTTACCACGAGAAAGATAGAACGATACCGGAGTGTGCTCTAGTGAGGTTTCTGAGCATGTTTTAGTACGTAAATATAGGAATGGAGATATTTGAAAAAAATGAGAAATAACCAATTACCCTATGCTACGTTTGAAAGTTAACAAAAGAAAAATCTTTTCCATTCTATGAACAAAATTAACGAGTTTCCAACTGTTAAAAGGCGACATTGGCTTTCAGCCTGTTTATTAACAAAATGTTTTTCCAATAGACCTAAAGGCGTGAACCAAACGAACATCATTTTCCGAACAATCAAATAATATTTTATAAATTTGTTTACCATGACTACATGATGGAGTGTTTATACTTGATTTCTGTAATTAAATAAATCAGATTAATTTGCTCCAGGCCTTACGTTTAATTACGTAGCAAGTCTACCGCACGTGCTTCTCAAATAGAAAGGGGATGACTGAACGGAAGGGCTCATTGTTTTAAAAAGAAAAAAAGGATATGTAATAACGTGGACCGTAAAAAAATTTTCAAATATTTTATCAAGTTTAATTTTCATTTCATCGTCATGTGTTAGTATTTAATTTCTCATTGAGGAAAACTTGGTTATTATATCTTTTTCTCCTTGTTTAAATTAGCAGAGTACAAGTTGAGCCACGTAAAATGAAAATTCTGTTTGGGCCTTCAATTTAATTAAAAAATTGTCGTTGGCGTAATCGAAAAGTATAAATTCTCAAGCAATTAACAATTGAATCTTGCCGTTTACAAGAAAAAAGAAGCAACGAACTTGAAATTGGCTAAATTGCCATTATTACTCGAATCGTACTTTATTAACCACTAATACCCAATCGTGAAATCGATTTTGATTATTTTCGATGGGTTGCATAAGTTTTAACGAACCCTTGAGAAATTCCCTGCATGACGATTCATAAAAAATTGCCAAGGAAAAGTTATTTGAATAAAATAAAATGCAGTAACTACGTCTGGTAATTCGTTGGCCCATCGCATTAATTTCTTGATATTATGCTACATGCACTTTATATACATATATGTATACAGTTATACGGAACATATATGATTCTGTGAAATGATAGTACGATCATTCCGTATGTATGTATATGCAAATTGAAGATATTTCGCATATGCTGTGGAAAGTCCTAGTCCATTACATGAATATTTATACTCTTTAGATAGAGTTTCTTTCGTTGCAGGACAAACTTAAATTATCCGTATTCTATTCGTATTCTATTAAATATCCGTATTCTATCTGTATTCTATCCGACCAATAAGAGCTATTCGAGTTTAACCCTTTGCACTCCGCTGTCCCATTTCAGGGGACATTACAGTTTATTAGTGACTACGGAGAATTAACTTATTCCAGCACAACTTTTTGAGAAATGCATGTTTTTCTGAAATTTCCTCAAAATGGCGCTGAGTAGCTAGTAGCTAACGTCCAGAATGGTTCGGAGTGCAAAGGTTTAATCGTACTGAATGGCATTAGTTTATAGTCTTATAAAACCTTATCCCAAAATCAAACATATAAAAGGGTAAAAGGTGTTATAACAACAATATACATTTTTTTCTCTCAGATAATCCTTATTTCGATAGGATCTTCATTTATAAACATAATAAAGCAGTTTAATACCTAAACCACACATCAGTGCCATTTGATCTCGTCAAGCTACGAAACGACCAAACGTAAATTTTAGATTCACATGAAACGAACGCCAAAAAGGAAATAACACAATAAAGAATTATTAGCAGACATAAGAATTTACGGGTTTCTCGTAGTAATGATTCATTACGTTTGCAAGTCAGCCCGAGTACAACGCTTGCAGATCATATCATGTGGTCGTATGGTGGGTCGAAACGTGAACAAGAAACCTAATCTCAGTAAATAATTTTTTTACAAAAAGAATTTTTATTAGTGTGAATAACGTTTATATGTGCATATTGAAGATGAAAAAATTTTCTTAAGTCTTCTCGAGGTACCTCGTCAAAAAATTTCAAGAATTGCGATCGGCGTGTAATTATTAAGCTTCTTCGTGACTGACGAAATCTCAATGGATCGTACAGTACGTATCGTCAAGGATTATTTCTCCTTCTAGAAACTTTTAAGGATCCCTTAAGAATCCTTTTTCCTGTGCAGAACATAAATACCTAGTCGATTCTTCTTTGAACTCAACTTATTTTCTGCTCCTACTTTGCCTCCATTCATTTATCTTTTACTCTTCCTCCTCTCAGCTTATAACGACCGATAATCCCGTTGACTGTTCACATAAAATCTTTTATACGAACCTTGTCGAATTCTTGTCACGTATATTCCGACATGAAGATTCGTAAAAGTTACCAAGCTCCCCTTTTTTTAACGAGCATTGAAACATTAACGTGGTAGAAGAAATTGATTCAGTGAGCCGCTGGTCGTTTCAAATGACACTACTTAAAAATGGATATTCCTACCAAATGTCATTACCCTATAGCTTTTTCCATCAAAAGGATATAAATTTCAAAAGCAAATCAATTTTCCCGCACTGCAGCCTCAAGTGCAAAAAACTATTACGAAGAATCGAGTAAATATAAAATATAAACACAGTGAAGCACGCGTTCATTAAAAATTGGCAACACGCTATCCAGTCCGAAGCAGATTATAATAAGAGACGGAACTTTAAACGGGAAAGAATAATTGTATAGTGATGAAGTCTGTAGAAAATTAGTCTCCCCTTTGGCCACATCCTTCCCCACTTTCCACGAACATAATTTCAAGTGGATACCTACTTGCTGAGTGGTAACATTTTTTTGTCTTCGTGTAATTTATTTTAATTGAAAAGGCGTAGGCAGCATTTAATTCAACTCGAGAACGATGAGTCGACATGGCGCAATCAATTAGGAGGAAGGCATTCGGTCTTTATTACAAGAATAAAGCGACTTTTTAGTAAAGTCCATTATACAAAGTATACCCCTTTCAATATAAGTTACTACGTAACCACTTAGAAATTTATAGAATTTCTTGACAGACGAAATTGTCATTTTTTTTTGTTATAAGCCATATTCTCCTCAACCATTTATTTAGTCATTGAATATAATAATATTTAAATTGGATAAAACCATTAACGAGAATTTTTTTTTTTTTTTTTTTTTTTCTTATAGAAGAAATACTACGGTTCCGTGTAATCGTAGCAGCAACGAGAGTTCCCAAAATCGATCAATCGTAGCATACCAACATACGTATATAAAAATTCGTACGTACATATGTAAGTGTAGGTACAATTTCAGTTCACGAGCTGCTACCCAAGGCAAAGTACTACGCTCACGGCAAAGGGAAAGCTTTGAGCTTAAAGCTGACAGCGGCTTAAGGAACAGCTAATAAAGCAACGAAGCAAATCGGTTCTTTAATCCTTCCGCGACATGATTAACCATGCTGCATGGGAGTGTATATCTGTAGGTTATATAATATATGGGAGTTTCAATGTAATTTTAAGTGACATTAAGATTCTTTCAATGCCAACGATTAGCTGTAACTATAGTCACGGGATCGCTATGCGACATTTCTACAGTATATAAGACTCACTATAGATTCACGTGATTTAGGCTCCTCCTAAATCGATTATCAGTGCTTTGCTGTACGGTTACGTATATACGTGTTAAATTTGTCTGTTACAGTGGAGGTAATGTTTCTGATCTGGGGCATTAGGCTGTGCATCGTCGTACGTAAGGCACCATCCGAATTCAACGAAAGCCGATTCATCTCTATGGCAATTTACAACGAATTTCTACTATCAGTCTTCCTCAACGTGTCAATGTGAGTCTCTCGTTAATCACAGCAATCGTTAATCAGTTCCGCGTGCTAGAAACAAAACGACTTATCACGCTCCGTTTCCTTATACAACGTCGTCACCTTACGATTCCAATGGACCTGTCGTCTTGACGAAAGAGAATCGAAAGTCCGTGCGTAAAGCCTATAGGTGAAAATGGTCGGATTGGAAAGCCCGTAACTTCTTCCGAGATTCGGATGCTGGAAAACGATCATCGATTTAGTTAAATCGCATCGGGATCAGCCGACTGAATTTATCTTATTGGAATTCAAATCCTCTTGGATTTCACGGTTTATTTTTTGTGTTACCCTGTATAACGGATCAAAAGTTTTTTTTTTTTCTTTGATGACGATACCAAATTTCCACGATTGAACGAACTTTTGTTACGGCGATCAAGCGGATGTGATGGGTTTTTACAAAATGATCGTCCTAAAGTGCGATTTATACATTTTTACGAAAGCCCCGAGACCTGCCGAACCATCGTTTTATTGCTTCCTACTTACTGACCCACTTAGTCGATTGCACGCTGCTATTTCTACGCGCGTCCTACTGTAAATATATCCTGGTCAGACTACATACTTATCCACTACCTGACTTTGTTTCATTTTCTATGATCCGACGCAAAGGAATCCCTTTCCGTCCATTCGTGCCATTAGGAACACCCGAGGAGCCCTGCGGGCGACCTCAGAGAGGTCTGTCGTGTTTTGCCAGCACCGGGTTCGCTTTAACGCGAAGTAACTAACTCGGTTAAGATAAAGTATAGACAATTGTGTACCGGAGTAAGAAAATAAGTCATTGGTATTATTCAGCAAAGAACTCTGTATACGGTCACTGTGCAAATTCTCTTTGCAAAATCTTCCCGCAGACCTAAGAAAGGAAGACGGCAGCTATACGTTCTTCTCCATTTAAAATTTCCAGTTGGTCTTCTATCCAGGGATTCACCAGTGACAATATGGTCGCTCGTAAAGAAAGGCAAGACAAACGAAACGATGCGTTAAGTCTTTTTCGTACCTTTCTTACCGTTCTTCCCATTTTACACTTGCCCGCCCTTTCGTTCTTTTTCATCCATACTTTTCACTATCTACATACATCAATATTTATGCACGCGATGAACATCTTTCTTCTAGCTCATACGGCATTTACATATGTCTATAACCTATACTGTGTATACGGCGAAAAGAACATTTCTCGTCTGGAATCGAATTGAAGACAACAAAATGAATTCAGTAGCTACTGGACCTATATATATTCCAATCCCAAAAGTTCCTATATATTTCACGGAATCGTACTATTCCCAGAGTGCGATCCTACACGGCAAATAATACATGACCCACATGTGAATATAACATACAGACACCATAAATCAAATGATATTCGATTCCTTATTGGCTAGGCACTCCTGGGCTCCACCTCGAGTAACGTTTTTCTTGAATAATTTTGATAAATTTTTATCTGTTGCAGGTTCTTTTTACAGTCACCGGCAAATCCGGACTTACTCTACATTATTTTTTTCTGCCACACGCAACTGACCGTCACGCTTCTTTTGTGTCTGATATTCGGTAGCAAGGTACGATATCGAGAATGTTATTAGACTTTTATTTATGTATATTTTTATTTGTGTACGTGAATTCTTGTTATCTAATATTACACCGCTGGCAAAAGAGTTTACGGTATGTATTGCATTACTGACAGGCATACGTGGTATTCCGTGGCGGCGACAAAGAAGATTCCATGGGAAAACTTCCTGGGGCTGCTGGCAAGTTCGTGGGAAAATCCTGCCGCACTCAAGGCACGAGTAATCAGACGAACTCGATTTCACTTCAGCACGGCAATTTTACTGAAGAAAGCGATGGCGTTACGGTAAGAGCTTACGTCTTTCTATTGTAAGTGATATAAAAAAAATTACGTTATTATTATATCTCATATACGGGAAACAGCAGAGATAGGATGCCGAAAAAATATTTTTCGCGTGCAAATATTTTTTTGCAACGCTGTACGGAAAGTTGATTCATTTGGCTGACGTCATTTTTTGAGACGATCCTTGATGATCGCTTTAATGTTTGAATAAGTTCATCAGATATTCATCATTTGTTTCTACTGTCACATGATTCTCAACTATAAGCATTCACGCGTCGTTAAGAATAAATTTTAATAATAAATATACCCTACTTCCGACTACACGTAAAATGTACGTCTTTCACTTGTACAAAAAAAAAAAAAAAAAATCGTAATATACGAAGACGAGAAATAAGGGGGAATAAAGCAAATTTCGATCGAAAACAATTTTCAAGACGGTCGTCTCAGAGGAATCAGATGAGTTTTCGCACCACGAAATTCTTGTCATTGAAATTGATGTCGAAAGTCTGAAAATTTCACAATGCTAAATTTTCGTGCACGTACGAAAGATTACGAGCTGGAGGAAGAAGGAACCAAGAACTCTTTTGCAATAACGTAGCCAATGTAGCATGAAATGGCGGACGGGAACATTGAAACTTTAAGGGTAACTTATTAAGGGTGCTGGCATATCCCGTTTCTACATTAAAAACACGTAGATAATCGAGTAGACAAAGTTATGGAATTCCTATACATAGTTTATCGCGTATGACCCTTTCACCGGATACCTACCTAACTATCTGTAGATACATTGATACGTATGATATATAGTGTACCACCAAGGATGTACTAGGGAAATAAATATCCATTGGCAATTCAGAAAACGTACGAATTTCCCTAGTGCCTCACTCCACTGGATCCCTTCGAATCCTCATTTCAACAAACATCCAACTTCCTTCGACACTAGGATCCTTTCCCATACGTTATTTATACGTGTTGTGAAAACGAGGTGTGCGCAACTACGTTACAGGAGGAATTCCGTCGTCTCTACACGCAGCTGGAGTTGCTCAAGGAGAAGAACATGCGACTGGGCAACAGGCATCTCGTTGCGAAAATCGCAGCCATGCAGGACGCGGCGAATCGTGCGGAAACGCAAGTATCGACGATCCAGGCGATATCCACGACTATGAGATTGAACAATCTGAGCAATCCTAGCGGAGAGGAGGTCGTGTCGAATTTGTGTCGTGGAGATTCCCAGGATGGTAAAAATCCATTGGACATCGGTACCCGTGAGAAATGTTCTTCAGGTACGTCAGTGAGGAACGGCGCTAGGACGAAGGATTCGGCGGCCGTCGAACGAGGGAAGAATGGAAAAAGCATCACCGCGACGGTGGGTACAACCATGACGACGACGACGACGACGACAACGGCGACGGCGACGTCGACGGAGAGGGTCCTCGAGAGAGCCGACTCGAAGGACGTGACTAATAAGAAATTCTTGCAGGCCGACGATAAAATAAATAACGAGGTCATTTCGACGAGCCCGCGAGCCGCGACGTCGGAAGAGATTGCGGAGCCGAGCGTCGAACCGAGAAATAAAGACGATGGAGTCAAAGAGAAGTGTAAAAATAAATCCGGACACGCTAGAACGCATGCTATTGTCATTAATCTAGACGATAAAAGTAGATTCTCTGAAGAAGTCACTGTCTAGGTTTGTATAGGACATTTTTATGAGAGCACGTGTGAGACGGATTAAAGGTAGTAAATAAATCAAATAATCATACGTGGGGTATGGGATGATACCTAGTGGAATTATGGGAGGAACTTTCGCGTGAGATGTAGTAACGTCTTTGCACCATTCTTTTCAAGCCTCTTTTTTATATAAATGAACATTTCTTCCAAGTACCGATGAGTATTACTGTAAGTGTGTCTGCGAGTAATCGAAAGCGTCGGGATACCTTTTATCGTTAGATTTACATGGAAGACAGGGAGCTATTCCCGCGTAATATATGTATAAATAATATCATCAATTCATAGGAAGCTTTATATTATTTTTTAACGCCGTACATCGATCCTAGACGTTCTTCTTCGTCGCTGAACGTGTATATAGATATTGAGTATAGGATGTTTACTCTGTAAATAATAACTTATAACGTTTAACCGTTTCAAAATTTTGCGATTATGCAGAATTTATGAATAATTAAAAATAAGAAAAGATTTATTAATATCTGTAAATAGATTGTATATACCTATGCATGTAGTACACAGTAAACTTAATTACGTGTACATTGTACTCTCGCGCTTCTGATCCAATGCATATCAAAATGAAGATTTCTCTAGACTACAATTCTTGTAGAAAATATATATACGAAACAGTGAATCATCCTAAGGATGGATACGATACAGGAATTAGTCCATCCGACCGACGCCATGGTCACTAAAGGGTCCATCTGAGCCCCATAAAAAGGACCCTTTGTGACCGTCGCTTCTTAATTCCTTCATCCTTGAAAGGTACACTCAACGTTTCGCATATACTGAGAACACCAGAATCCTAATTGCCGCCGGAAAGAGATGACCAAGCCAGGAGCCCTTCTTTTCCGTCGACAATTTTCCAATAGTTGCTTTGTCCTCGAAGACGTAAATCGACTTTTATTCTATTGTATATAAACGAAGGTAAACTATGTGGTATACAAAATAAGTTAATATGCGAAATTATACAATGACTAGCACTAGAGTTAAATGTGTTTAAAATGCTCGTTAAAATATCAAATTCATATCACACGCATTTTTTCTCTTCATCTGTATATAATTCCTATTAGGCTTATTATCGCGTGATGAAATAATATATCACTTATATGAATGCATTATTGTACACGAAAGCTATCTATGTTAATATATATTGTGTATACATGTTGAACTTGTATATTGTTATATCGCGCGATGGCTAATTTACGATTTACATATAACTAATATATGAGATACTCAGTATAAATAATGATATACAATACAGATATATATATGTTTGATTTTATTATCGAATTATACGGTTTAAGTTATAACATAATGAATCTAATACGGATACGATTAAAATGCATCGTTACATTATGAGAATACGAGATTAAAGCAAATTTTATCAGCCACATTTCGTATTTCATTAGAAAATAATTTTTTATTTCCTCCTTCTCGCTTGTGATCCTAATTTTATTAAGGTAAGTGAAAAGTTTTCATTGTATCTACGTGGTATATATGTAACTATAAAAAAAACTCGACATAATTAGACCGCATTTTTCACTGTATTCTTACGTAACTTTTTATTTACTCTTAAAATTGTATTTTCAAGAAGAGCATTTAGGAATTCGGCTAGGACCGGAAAGCGTACGGCTGTTGATCTAATTTTAAATAAGCAGACTTCCAACTTGTATTTCAAATGTAGCATTGCAATACGTTTAACCCGTGTACAAGTTTGCATCTGCTTCAACGCATAACTCAAAACAATTGCGAATCGCATATTCGGCGTGAAGCTGCTGTACGAAACTAAGGCGTTCCGCCAGTATGGGAAATCTATTCAAAAGGTACCAAATTATATATAAATTATATATAAATATCTCAAATTATATATGCTATCCGTATGAACTTTTTTTTACTTTTTTTACTTACTGCATGATTTTTGCGTTTAACTATTTCCGACGTCATTTGAAATGACAAAGATAATTTTTTTTATTTGCGAAGGGAATTAACCGAACAATAATAATATGCACAATCGAGATACGCAATCATAAAATATTCAACGGTTGTCACATTAAATTTTTCAGATCTTGCACCGTTTCACCGTAAACGGTAAAAGTGCATCTAAGCTGATACACTCTGCATATACGAGATTTGTGAATGGGGTTTGTTTAAAAAATTATACGAAAGTCAGCATCTTTCAATAGTATTATTTAACTTACCAAGAAATAATGACATTAATTGGCAATAATGGGAAATAATGATTTGTTCTCTAAATCTGGAATTTTCCAAAAGCTGATGCACGACTCTCAAGAGCAATAGCTTCGTAATAAGCAATTAAAAAGGGTTTAGAATCCCAATCGGATTGTCTAGGGATATTGTGAGCGACTAATATGCCGTAAAGGTATCACTAGGACCTTTATATTATATTAAGACAAGCTGCCGAACCGTACGCTGATCTAAGAAACAGTGATAACTTAAGAGAAGATTACGGCAGCAAAAGAATGAAATAATCGCTAATGTTCGCCATTGATCTTTCCTAGGGCCTTATGTAAAGTTGGGAGCATTTAAAATTCCAAAGGGAGTCAAGTATTTCAGTAAATTTCTTACCTTTATCATACATCAACAAGCTAGACACCATTAATGACGCTTATCTAGTTATCTGTATTCAAGATTACATTTTCATTTAAAGTTTGTATACATTGTGACGTGATTTTTCGAATCACGGTCCCAAGGCGGCTCCGGTTACCGATACAGATAACGTTCTCGATTTCTGGTTCCCTTCGGGTCGCCACCCTGCTCAGAAGCTACGCTCTCGGGTTGATTCGTACAGTTACGTCAAGGCTCTCGTAAGATTTCGTTATTGTTTAGTTGAGGTCGAAGTGCTCGAATCTGCCGTGGGGAGATAGTCTCGACGTACCGAGTTGCCCGGCAGAGGAGA